AGGAAAGGATACCCAAAAGCCTTCCAGGGTGCTGGCAAGGTGGCATTTAACCTGAGCATTGGTGATATGAATATGTGTTACATTACTCCTCTTTATATATACATCTAATAACTTTTTTTCAGGCTTATTTTTTTTAAGTTTGTTTATTTTGAGAGGGGAGAGAGAGGCAGAGAGAATTCCCAGCAGGCTCTGAACTGTCAGCACTGAGCCCAATGCAGGGCTCGACCCCATGATTTACAAGATCATGACCTGAGCCAAAATCAAGAGTCAGACACTTAACCTACTGTGCTACCCAGGCGCCCTTAATAACTTCTATTATGTCCACTTTTATTTACCATTTTAAGTTTAAAATTTTGTTACAGACGATAGAATACCAGTTCTTAAAATATAGGGACACCTGGGTGGTTCAGTTGGTTGAGCGTCCAACTTTGGCTCAGGTCCTAACCTTGCAGTTTGCTGTCAGTGCAAAGCCGCCTTTGGATCCTCTGTCCCCCTCTGTGCCTCTCTCAAAAATAAATATTTAAACATACACACACACACACACACACACACACACACACACACACACACACACCTGAAATACATCTAAGTGGACGGTGGGATGAGTGGACTTTATTCTTCTAATTATTATTTCTCAAATTCTTGTGCTGCCTTTTCTCTTTAATTAAAAAGATTGTGCCAGACCAGCGTTACTTCTAGTAGATCTTGATTTCAGCGAGTAATAGGATCATTTCTAATAATATCTTATGGATAAAATGGAGAAATGTAGAATGAAAGACAGCACATTTGGTGGTTAGGGATAACATCCTCGTATTTTCTTCCTGGACTTGGAAACAACCATGACAGAGAAGTCAGACCAAACATCCCTTCTATTGTTAACAAAGTAAAAGAATGTGTTTTTTTCAATATGCAGCAATGGGGTATGGCCAATAGTCCACCTATCTCTGAATTAGAGATTAATCCACTTAACCACTGGCCTACCTAGACAACCATGAGTTTCCCCTGTGGGGAGACAAAGTTAAAACTCCTCGGGGAGTAAATCTTTTGACCTACATATTGTTTTACTTCTAGCACCCTGAAAGGTCTTAAGCCTCTCTGAGTCCATTCCACTTCACTATTTACGTAACATTAGCTGCTCAGAGACCTATCCTGTCTCCCCAACTAAGTTACGTTCCTGGTGGTCAGAGTACTGTACTCATTTCTGAAACCAGAATTCTAGATCATTCATGCACATGATAAATACTTTCATATTCGTGTTATGTATTTACTTAAGAGCCGTTAAGAATACAGGCTGCGGTAAAAACTTCAGAAACTCCAGACAGATCAAGAGACTAGAACTGGACCAATGAGGAAAATACAGCATTTATTAAGGGCTTGTATAGGGTGGCTACTGATCCTAAGTGTTTCGTGAACATCTCATTTTATTCTCTTTATAGCAGCTATTACCTTAGCGACAGGCGAAGACACAAATAAAGTTAACACAATCACTTGTGTGAGGGCACACAACTATAATTTGCACTTGGCGGTGACTCCAAAGCTAAAGCCCTGAACTGCTGCTGAGCTACAGGGAAACCAAGAGAGCTAAGCCTTCTGAGATCTCTCCTTGGTTGGTGTCTGTAAGGCAGTACTGACGGCACCGTGGTCGCGGGAGAGGCCTCGGGAGCTAGAGCGCCGTGCTTCACAGACTGTGCTAATGATACTGAGATACAGGGGGGTTTCTTAACCTCTCAATGCCTTCTTCATCTCCTTGTCTGTGAAATGGGAAGAATATCCTCAGTGCACAGGATTATCGCCAAGATGAAATGTGTCCATGCAAGTAAAATACTTTGCGCGGCACCTGACTGCACATATCAACCTGTATTTACTGCTGGGTCTCTGCTACTTTTGTAGAATTTTGCCCTGGAACCCAAATGTCCCCTGTGAGTACATCATGAAGGGTAAGAAAACAATTGAGGAAACTAGGCATTATACAACCTAAGGCTAATTTACTTAAAAACAAAGAGCTTTTTAGGGAACTGAGGACTTTACTCCCTTTCACCCAAAACTTCCAGTGAGAAAATGCAAAAAGGTTTAAAATGAGGTAGTTTAGAGGCGGTATTCTTCTTCTTTATCATTCTTTCTTGGCTAGTCCCTGAGATGTCTAGATGAAACACCCAATAAAAACCACTCTCTCGCTACAAACTGTACTCCAAGCTGCAAGTTTTTAAGAAGCTGTAAAAAGACAAATCCTGACAGAAACAAGTGAAGTCAGTTTGTTGAAAGATTTTTTTTTTATTCTACAAGAATTGATTGGTGCAATCCTGCAGGACCCACATGTGTTTAGAGAAATTTTTCTTTTCAAAAGTAAATGAAAACCCCCTTTGAATTATTTATATATTAACTTCTGAAAACAATAGTCATAGGGTCTGCTTTGTCCTATAGAACTATAAATGTTACACAAACTGAAGCAAAAATGGATGTACAGAGATTTAAATGAAACCTTCCAAAGAACAAAACCGCTCCTCGGTCCACTGTATTTTCAAAGTTGATTATCATCAAACCAGGATGAGAGCTGTGAACCACAAACCGTTTGTGTCTTTAATAGAAAAAACCATGTTTAGATTAATTAGCAAAGTAGTATCTTAAAATGGATCTTCACACAGTTGATATTTTAGTAATAAACCTGTATATCAAGGCCCTTTCCATTATTTATTTTACTTTAAAAATATATACAGCTAAGGATGTTAAATATATATTCTGAGCCATATGTCTAAACATAAATATTTGGGAAATTCAAACTCTTCCAACAAGTTACGAAAGGATTAAAGAAACAAGAGGAGCTACAAATTATACAGCAGGAGGAAGAAAAAAAGTTCTTCAACATTTAGGTCTGGATAGATAGGTATTTTCTGATTTCAATATACATACCCAGTTGAGAATAGACAGCTGTCAAACTTGAACCAGTTACAGAGAGTGTCGACTAAGCCTGTACTATTTTCTACAACAGGAAACAACGGTGACTTCAAAAATTTCAAGACAGCTCGATAGTTTCATCAGAAGTTATTTGTAGTAATTGTCTAGTATCGTGTAGTTCTGGGAGGCGCAGACTGAATGACCGCATTACCTAAGCCAAACCAGGTGCACTGATGCTGCCTGACGGGGATTAATTATGGTGGAAGGTATCGGAACACAACAGAGCAGACAGGCAAGCGGAGAAGGACAGATAACGTACACCCGTGCGGATCAATCACGTTAACGCTAGTGTTTCAAATCTAAATATACAGGGACACTTATAAAAGCTGCAGGACAATCCCGATACAAAAATCCAGAGATAAACCTGCAAAATGGTCAACTGCAGTTCCTAGTCTGCTGCTGAATAGCTTAAAGAGTAGCTATTTGGTCTTCGAGCATTTGAGAATGAAAGGGGTGGAAACGTGTTCATCCCTCACTGCACTGTAGCATCTGAAATGAGCAAGCACAACACCTTTGAATTTGTTTTGCTCTTAGGTGCAGAACCGGTTTTACTTTTTGAAGACACTTAAAGATAGCTTTGCACTGAGTTAACTTCTAGTCCACAGTGGTTAAGTGACTAGAACTGCCATCCCATTAGCATTCTACGGGACAGTCTTGTTCAGCACTCCTCACTCTGGGGTGGGGGTGGGAGGCATGGCAAAAAGCAGCTGCAATTCTTTTTTTTTTTTTAACAGCAGAAAAGCTTGAAACACCTACAGAGTTTTGCATGTGTCTTGTATTCTATTCTGGAACACCTGAACAAAATCTTATTTCAATCAGCTCGATCTATACAAGTTATAAAATACAAACACAGTTTAAACCCTATAGCGTACAGGATATGTGCTGTTTAATATTCATTAAATGCAGTACAACTGATGAAGATTATCAAATAAGAAACACAGGGCATTCTGAAGTTTAGATCATCTTCGGGTCACTGACCAGATGTGTACAAATTACATGTGCAAGACAAAAAACAAACCAAAACCAAAACACACACAAAGAAGAAAGGATAAAATCCAAAGAAACCAACTTCTCAGTGCAGCACCCCCCTCAGGATATGGCACTTTTACAATGTGAGTATTACAGCGGTCAATTTAAGCCGGGAATGACTCAGACAGTGAAGCCACATTAGGGCAAGAACCAGCCCATCAAAATGTTAAAGTAAAACAGATGAACTTTTTTCTCTGTAAAAGCACTGAAAATGTAATATGCGCAGACAACTCACTAAAACTTTTCTCATTTCATTTGTCTCCCGATGTAGGATCTTAAGTTATTCTGTAATTATTCTACTTGTTTTAACAGACTGATTTTTAAGGCCTGTATAAATGCTGTTACGTTGCTGAAACCTACTTTTTTCTCTGTGGTGAGAACGTCTTCATGGAAAAAAGAACGTATCGGCTTAAAAATCACAGAATGGAGACAAAAAACAAAAGACTGACAGTTTCCAAGCTAGTAAGAAATGAATTATACCATGATCCATCGATTTAAAATTATATCAATATTAACTAACATTTCCAGGGTGGCTCCCCCATGCTCAAATTAAACAGTGCAGACTAGGGCCTGGTACAGTGAATCACATTTGGTTTTCTGGAAAACAAAACTTTACTATAAACAATTAAAAGGCAATTCTCTTCCTCCACAACACACAGACATTAAATGGAAGGTTTTTAAAATATCCACTACCTATAAGAAAAGTACTTTTAAATGGCTAAAAGGAATCAAAATACCAAAGTTTAGTATGCGAAGATATAAACAACCAAGAAAAGATCATTGGTGCTGAATATTGAACATGAATAGCCCAAAATAAGTTCCGAAGTTTTGTCTACCTTTACAAATTAAAAAAGGTGTCCTTTCCACAGTTTGGGGATATGTGCTGTAAATCCCCCCCAACAAGTGTATGAGTAAGGTTTAAAAATGTTGCCAATAGTAAGTTCTTCGGTACCTAAAATTAACCAGAGGACAGCAATATTAATGGTGGCAATGGTGCAGCAATTCTCAAAACGTAGTTACGATCCAACACGAGTTGTGGTGGTTCTTTTATCTGAGAAAAAGCTTTTCAGAAGAAATACCTGCCCTATGCTAACCACCAGAAGAATGAGGGCTTCTCCTACTGACCAATAGGCCACTCTCGTATTTAGATCTTCTGCTCGGCTTCGGCCTTGGGCTTCTCTCAAGCGGAAATGAGTCTGATAGTCGATGACAGACTTTAGAGCTTCGTGAATTGAAACACAGGCAGATTCCATCTAAAGAGAGATAGGTGCAGTTAGTAGGTGGGACACTTTCTGCCCTATCCATCTAATATATTCATCTTCCAGTTAGATCTCAATTCCACATCTGATTAACACACCACTGAACTGGCACTCACTCATTCACCCGCTCATTTACGCCACTGGTTCCGGCAATGCAACCGGCCCTTCCCTTCATCCCCACTAGGGCAACTGGTGAGGCCGGAGATTCGGTGAGGCAGCAGCTTGCCCCGAATTGGAAAGTCACAGCGGTGGTACCTGCCATGTGCTAGACAGAATGCTAAGCTGACAGAAGCACAAATACTTATCAGTGACAGTGGGTGGTTACAGAATTTCAAGTTCAGGCTCCCCCAGGAGGATGAATTAGGAGGAAGAGAATGGCAGGGCAGAAAATGTGATCAATAGTGAGTACAAAGTCCAAATAGATGCAAAAATAAACCAAGCACCAGACAAAGTTAACCATCTTAAAAGCAGTTGAGTCTGAAAGTGATAGGTCAGGGCGTCAGTGTCTTTCTTTAATTTATCAATTTGCTAAACATGTGTCCTCCCTCCTGCCAGTCAACCAACACATACATTCTCAGTGGGAGGAAGTTTCAGTTTCACTGTGTAATCCATTTGCCAGCCTTCATCTGATGACACCTTACCTTTCTATACATTCATCACACTATCTGCTTTGAGAAAGGGTAAGTGTCTAAATTTTTTGTTTGTACAGCAGAGTGTAATATTTTTCTACTGCTGAAAACTTAATCCTAGTGATGAAATACCTGCGTTATTATTATACTTATTCTACATCACAAACCATGTATTAAGAATGTTACAAACAATCTGAGGGTTTTCTCGCCCTTATCGCTAAGGAAGGAACTGTTGATATATACTGTGCACAGCCACACAAAGGAAAAATATCTTTATGATAACAGGACAGCGATGAGGGCCACGGAGTATGGGAAGCAGAGGGAGGAAGATGGCGAACATTACTACTTTCCTGTATTCTGGAAAATTCTCCAATAAATGAAGTTTATCTTAGCAACCTTCCCATTTTCCTTTCTGCTCCTCTCTCTCCTTTAGACCCCAAAACTGTCAAGCTAACTCAGTCACTAGAATACCCCCATGTCACAAAGTTATTTGGGCTCCTCTCTACCCCAGTGTTAACGACTTGTATAACTTCTTTCCTCCTTTCACTAATAAACCCACAGAATCTCTCAAAAGATTCTGGGATTTCTTTTTTCTGGTCTTACTTTTTGTGAAGGAATAGAGAACTAGAAAAGAATTCAAACATTTAATAAAGTTTTTGCCAAAGTAAGATGAAAGAAATCACTTATAAAAATATTCCATTAAAGGTGCTTCTACAAAGTACGAGAAATTACGTGGTCCACGAAGTACGAGAAATTACGTGGTCCACAAATTGCATGTACCTGTTAGATGGACACTCAAACGTTTTTCCTGTTCCTGTTTTGTCGAGGGCCCTAAGAATCAAAGATTAGCAAAACGGTGCTAAAATGAATAATCACATGTTCTGATCTGTGGTAGGAGGCTCCGGAGGCGCTTCTAGACTCTCTCTCCTTCTCAGGCATTCTCAAAGCGGGACGGAGGCTAATCCTGGGAAGCGTGCACAAAAGCGAGGATCTGATACAAATTCAGAATGTTTAAGGATTCCTGGAAGTCTGACACGGAGTAAGGGTTAAGAAGCGCTGGATGAAAGAACATCACAGAAATAAAGGGACTAACTGCACGGATTCGTATAATTTTTGAGAGGTTTCCCTTTTTTCCCTACCTCTTCTAATAAGGAGAAGTGTTCAGATTTAAGTCCATGTTCAAAAAGTTCATATTCCAAAGAACGTGGTACAGTGAGCCCCCAGGTCAATCATTAACACGTGGCTAATCTTACTTCACCAATATGTACATATTCCTCACCTATTTTTTTCCCCACTCCAATTAATTTGAGGCAAATCCCTTAGCTGTTATCATTTTAACTGTACTTTTATACTTTATATTCATTTCTGCAAGGCAACACTACACTAAAAGCTACAACGCTGGTAGCATTAGCACACGTAAAACAATTGAAAAATGGTTCCTTAGAGTTTTCAATATAAACTCGGTACTCAAATTTCCCTAAACATCTCAAAAGTTGTTTCCAAATCAGAATCCAAACAGCTTCGACCCCAATCGTCTGGCTGATGTGTCCTTCAAGGGTTCTTGAATCTTTTGGTTCTCTTCCTGTCTTCCCTTCCCACTTGAAGAAACTGGGTCCTCTGTCCTGCAGCATTTCCAACTTCCTTCTAACTTCCCATGTTGTGCACTTCATTAACGCATATTATCAGAAGACACACAATGCCCAGTTACCTCTCTATCTGGAAATGGCCATTAGATTTGGTGCTATCAGTGTGATCTAGCCATGGTACAATTCCCCCACAGCTTTCCACCTAGTGGCTTTAGCAGTGACTGGTAACACTGTCTACTCCAGATCCATCATTTTACTAATAGATGAAAAATGGTGATTTACTACAACTCGGTAACTTATTCTGCATTTACCAGCTGGTACATTTTTCTATTCTAAGATGTGAACAACTGTGTTGTGAGTGTCACCAACCGTAGGAGGTATGAGGGACTCATTAGCTTTTCAAAAGTAGAAAAATAAGATTAAGATAAAAAATGTGATACAAATAAAGGAGATTAACAGCTATTAACTGCTTTATTACCACTCACGTGTTATATTTATCTATCTGGCTTGTAGAGCAAGCTACCTTATACAAATTAGAATTCATGAAGCTTATGTTACAAACAAGGGCCCCAGAGTAAAACCTTTTTACAAAGCAAAGCGCCATTCACACGGCATGGTAAAGTAAGAGAACATTTCTAAAAGTAAGAGTGTATGAATACATCCTGTTAATGCTCACAGTAGGATTATGAGTTAAGGCTCCTGTACGTTATTATTGAGGAGGGCACTTGTTGGCATGAGCACTGGGTGTTGGATGTAAGTGAGGAATCATGGGAATCTACCCCAAAAACCAAGAGCACTCTTTACACACTGTAGGTTAGCCAATTTCACAATAAATTATACTAAAAAAATAAAGATAAATATACATTAAAAATAAATAAACATTTTAAAAAATTTAAAAAATAATAAGTAACAAATAAAAATGGCTTCTGTCACCACATGACTTGGGCCAACAACCTAACTAGAACCTGGGAACAATGAAATACCACTTTAAGGGCTTAACAAGTAGAAGTAACAAATAATTCCTTCGGATACCTAATTGAGTACCTTTTAGGTAAGATCTAAGCTCACATTCTGTTCAAGCTGGAACGAAAATGGCCCTTCTCACCACCTGAGCCGCATCTGTTCACAGACTTTAAATCTCTTTCCTTCTCTTTCTCTCGTTAAGCTCTTCTTCAACATAAAGTCCAACCTGCCTTCCTTAACTATTTTTGTTAGATGGCTTACGACTGATCTTTAATATTTTGCCCTAAGTTCTAGCAAACATTCTAAGAGCAGCCTGAATGAACACTAAACACTGGGAGAACACTACCAGGTGGCATATTGATTACAGATTAACGAAGGCATCATTTTGTTTCCAGTTATACCAACCTGCCGGGTTATGGAAGCCATATTCCTCATGAACCACAAAAAATGCTTCCGAATGCTGGAGCACTGTCCAGTCTTCCTAAATTTCCTTTCCCACTGAAGGGATCCTCCTGCTTACACTTCAAAGTTCATCAAATCCTTTCACAGTGGTCTCCACCAAAAATGTCTGAAGTTCCCTGAAATGTCTAATCTACTATAAGAATTAAGATGGATCTGAAAGACCGTGTGAAAGTCTCAAACTCCGTGTTCATCAGTGGGTGAATGCGTGTGAAATTATGCTTTCCCTCCGTCTCAACACACCATTCTGCTGCTTTTCATTTACCTGGGTAAGAGCACTGACTCGGTTCTCACTAGGAAACAAAGGCGGGTCTTCTCCAACTTGAAAATCAAAATACACGGTTTTGTGTGTGAACGTGGAAAATTCATTGCTGAAACAAAACTTGTATGTCCCGTTTCTGGAGGCGGTGAAGGTAAAACTATCATACTGTTTCTTCATCTCTTTGTATAACACGTTACCATCAGGATCTTCTAATCGACAGTCTACATCATAGTGTCCACCAGTAATCACCTATGAAGACAGAGAAAAAGGGAAGAAAGATATCACTGCAACTCACAAGTCTGACAAAGCAACCAGACTTCCTGTTAAAAGGATAAGACTCCTGGCAGTGGACTTTTACTATCAAGGGCAATTTCACATTTTTTAATTCCCAGCAGTGGATGGAATTTGGGAGGCAGATTTCAGTTCAACCAAAGCTTTACAGACACTGAACAAGTTTCCCCATGATGGGAGAGAGAAACTACCTAACCAGCCAAATAACCATTCTAATTAACGCAGGTCTCTTAAATCACTTGACTCTCCCAACAAACCTACAAGAGAGGGTTTCTGCCCTCCATTTGACAAACTGAGAAACTGAGTTAAGATAAGCAACCTACCCAAGATTGCTCATCTAGTAAAAGGCAGAGACAGAATCTGAACCCCAAAGTCACACTCTTGACCCTTAAGCTCACTGCCATGTAGTATTTTCCTTCCCTAAATTTTGTCCCCTCATTTCCTATGTGCACCATCCAAGCACACGCACGGATAGTGTAGTGCAGGAGGAAAGGAGACCAGTCCTTAGCGTAACACCCCAAGCATGTAACTATTATAGAACTTAAATTCACTTTAATGCCAAATTTAGGTTTGTTTCTTAAGTGCTTCTCAACGTCAGTTATATGGAATTTGATACACCTTTTGTTTTGAACAGCATTATGGACTGAACAGACCCGTGGGCTACCGATTCTAACAGTATAGCTTCATTTTGCAAATTTGTTTCCCAGAGAAATATCAATGATTAAACTATCCTGTTTATAAACTTGTGATTAAAGCAAAAACAAAACAAAAGCAAACAAATCTTTTGCTTATCTGGAAGCCTGTATTAAAGGGCAAGCATATTTGAAAGGAAAGCCAGGGGGGTAAATGAAAAGTTCTGAAGAGGACTTTGGAGTTATTTTCAAGGGCTTGTGCTTCATCAGTTACAATTTAAAGGCCCATTTGGGTCATACAAATGAAGGGGAGGGAGATTCTTCCTGAGGTAAGTAGACAAGCATAATGAGAGAGGAAAAGGAGAAAAGGATTAAAGAGGAGAAAGGCCTCCTTAGAGGACAAAGAATTAAGTAGGAAGAAAGAGGGAGGGGAGATGTAAGAAACAAAGGGTGCAGGCTGAAAGAACGGGAAAGAAGTGAGGAAGAAGAGATGCGGGTTTGAGGGTTCCCAACCCCCATGAGAGCAGGTGGCACAAGCCTGTACTTTCAAGTGTGAACGCTCCTGGTGAGGGTGAGCACGACGTTGCCATTCTAGATCTGCAAAACAGAGATCAAACCTCGCACTTCAAAGAAGGATCAGCTGCTAATGTGACCTTTTGTCACTTAGGAAATACGATGAATAACGAACTATGTTACAAGATCACTTTGACAAATAAATGAAATATAACTATGTACTGAGGAAACTGCTAAGGAAACTGTTAATATGTAAATATTAACATACAGGTACGATGTTTCGACTTAAAAAGTGTCTTATCAACTGGGCATTTACTGCCTCTCCAACGTCAACAACTTTTCCTCCAGGTGAAAGTCATGACTTCATTTTTATGTACCTGATTATTCGTACTTGGCCGTTGTGCTGTGAATGGTCAAATACAACAAAACTGAACAGGACCAGAACAGATCACCATGCCACTCTTCCTCCAGCAAACTTCCAAACAAATCATCTTATTTCAGATAAAAAATACCCCTTTAGAATCTGTCCGGTCACATAATGTAGAAACTGGGAATCATCCCAAACGAAGTCTCCCTACTTGTCCGGTTAGTCACACAAATTTCTTGACGTTGCTGCCTCCCTCAAATTCATCCGGCCTCTTCCACTCCTAATCCAGAGTCTAGACAGGACTGAAGCCACAACTTCCTAAAAGGTCTTCCCGTAACCCAATCTCTCTTCCCTCGAAACCCAGGGGTTCTCAGTCTCAGTTGGTTTAGGGATGGATGGATAATTGTTTGTGGCAGGGGGATGCGTTGCCCGGGGCACCGTGGCATGTTTACAACCATCTCTGGTTTCCGTTCACCAGACGCCAGTAGAGTCGCCCCTCCCACGTCTCCTGGCCTCCCCATCACCCGTTCGCTTAAAACCTTGTGATAAATTCAGAAAAATCCCAACCTGTTAACAGTGCCATACCACTCCTCTGTGTCTCCTCAAGGTGGCCTCAACAATCCTTTTTCTGTGTTCCAAAAATAGCAGACTGCCAGAAGTTCTCTGAACAGATCTTTGTTTTACATCTGCTCAAACAGTGGTGAGTTAAACAGGTCCTGTTTGCTCAACAATCACAGGACCCAGAACGACGATACTTACAGATCTACGGCTTATTACAGGGAAAGAACATAATATAAAACATCACAGTCAAAGTGTCCACCAGAAGGGGGTCGGGGAGGTGAGGCATGGGCTCCTTTGTCCTCCCTCTGTTAGGACTGTAGCCAAACAAAGACTCTCGACTAGGAACCACACAAGTGTGCAAGGAACACCTTGCAACCAGTGAGTCCCAAAAAGAGGCCTGTCGCTGGTCACACAGGCACATCCCTGCTATATTACCAGTCTCAACAGCACAGCCTTTTGGGGGGCTGGGGGATATCTCACCAAGACCAGGTACAAATCATCAATCTCACTATTACCAACAAACAATGCTGACAAACTGGGACAAATCACCCCTGAAGCCCTTGGACCCACAGTTACAAAGCAACACTATTACTCACTGTACTTCAGTGTGGGCTCAAGCTAATTTCAGGAACTGAGTCTCACAAACACAATCTACCTGCCTAGGATGTCCGTTCCCCTATGCCATCTTGTAGAGTAGCTCCTCTTTCTCCTAGACACAATTCAAACATCAGCCCCTCGGTGACATTTCCCAGGATGAGCCCTCTCCTTCTGCCCAGCACTGTACCTACTGTGTACCTTCACTGTTGCATTTAACACTGTATGACTGCATGTATCCATGTAAGCTCCCTGAGGTCAAGGTCAGTCTCACTGACCTTTGGGAGGTAGTGTATAGGAGTTAAGAACTTAACCTGGAACTGCATACTCATTCTGCCACGTGCTACGTTTTGCAACCTTGGGCTTAAAGCTTTCAAAGCCTTAGCTTCTTAAGTAAGGAAGAAGTAAGAACTCTACCCATTTCCTATGGAGGTGTCCTGAGAATTAAGTAACACGCCTGAAATGCTTGGCGTGCTGTCTGCTACCTAACAGACGTAACAGCCCATAACAGTAGTGGTGGTATTCTCGGCACCAAGCACGGTGTCTGACGCTGGTACCTGAAATACACAGACATTTTTATATTACGATTCCTGCTATCTTCTTTTCAGTCCCCTCGTTCTAACCCATGAAGTTAAACAAACCAAAGGGTGATCCTTAGCCTCCCTTCCCTTACTCGCGGTAGCCAAAACATCAAGTCCTGTTGATTTCACCTACTGGATTCTCTCCAATCCTTTCACTTGTCTCCTCCTCTACAGCTACCACCCTTGAAGCCTGGACCACTGTAATAGTCTCCTACAGCCATCTCTCCAACACCCTAATACTTTCTCTACCTGCACAAGTGAACATACAGTTACCAAAACTGCGTGAATCATATCACTGCACCGCTCACAACGCTCTGATGGCTTTCCCATACTCTGAGGAAAAACTAAAATCCTTAACCAGGCCAGCAAGGCACATGGTCTCACCCCTGACCTCCCTTCCTCTGGCAATATACGTATTCCCAAGTATATTGGATCTCATGATAGACCTCAAATTCCCAGCCACTCTTAACACTTTTGCAAAGGCTATTCTATTCCCTCGCCACTCCCCTTACCAAAGTATGTACAACTAATCCTTTACAGTTCAGCCTAAAATCACTTCCTAAAGGAAGCTCTCGTAGATCCCAAAGATTAGACCGTTTATCCTCTATTTTCTGCCTTTTTAAAAAAATTATTTCTTTATTTTGAGAGTGGAAGCAGGAGAGAAGCAGAAAGAGTGAGACACAGAATCCACAGCAGGCCCTGCACTGTCAGCGAGGAGCCTGATAAGGGGGCTTGAACTACGAACCGTAAGATCACGACCGGAGCCGGGATCAAGAGTCAGACAGACACTCAACCGACTGAGACACCCAGATTTTCTGCTCTTAAGGTAGTTTTGATGAATGAGCAGGTACTAATTAAGAAAAGGGTTGGATGCAGAAGGAATCGAGAATGATGGCAGCGAAACAATCTATTTGTACCACTTCCTATCACCAGCACCTAGCACTCAATAGCTGCTCAAATAAGCTAAATGAGTCTACCAACAAAACAGAAATAAAGACTGTTGGGGTGCCTGGGTAGCTCAGTTGATTAAGGTCCGACCCTTGATTTCTGCTCAGGTCATGATTTCATGGCTGGTGGGACTGAGCCCCACGACGGGCTCTGTGCTGACCACATGGAGCCTGCTTGGGAGTCTCTCTGCCCCTCCCCCCACACATCTGCTTTCTCCCCCTCTCTCTGTCAAAATAAAGTAAAAAAAAAAAAAAAAAAGAAAGAATGATTGTTGTAGCAAACTTAAGAAAGTACATTCTGTTAAATAAAGTTTCTTTCCTATTAAAATCCCAAAGATGAAAAGGGTCCTCTCATTTATCGCAGCTATTCGTTCAATGCCTTTGGCAGATGGTCTTCTAGCCTCGAAAGGAGCTCTTCCTGTGACAGGGACAGCATTAAACAAAAGTCCTAACATCAATGGAAAAACTGAAAAACAACGGAATTAGATATTGGCAGGACTTCAAAACTGATTCAAGTGGAGGTGTCAATCAGAGAGCAGGGGACCGGTCACTGAGCACTATACAACAGGAAGAAGTTCTTTTTAAAAGAAGTGCTTAAAGGGGAAAAGTTCAATAGGCCTTAAAACGAAGAACATTTTGGAGCATAGAAGGAAAAGTCACAGGAACCATTTCTGGAACTCCTGTATCTTCGTATTTCGTCTAAAATGGCTCTCGCCCAAGATGTATAACAGGAAAGGCAAATGCCCTGCATCAGCTACCTAGAGGTGATTCTTGACTCAGCCCAAGAGTGGAGAAACCCAGACAGGAACGAGTCACCAAGCAGGATGCAGCCCCGACCCTGGAACCGTGAGCTGGGGCCCTTGGACTTTCAGAGCTCGTCGTACCTGGAACTCGAGGGTGCACTTGGTGCCCTGCGTGATGTCCTCGTAGAAACACTGCTTGGCATTGTCCGGCAGCTCGAAGGTGATCTCGGAGGCGCCGCCGGGCCCCGGCACCAGCAGCAGCAGCGCGAGCAGCCTGCAGCTCCAACGGCCCGCGGCGGCCGCCCAGCGCTGCGCGGACCCCGGCCCCGGCATCCCGAGGCGACGGAGGCGGCCTCAACCGAGCTGCGGGGAGACTCGGGGTCACGTCTGCGCGGACTCACCACGAGCGGCAGGCCTCGGTCCGGGCCGCCCGCGAAGACGCACGGGAGTCGCTCCGGGCCACGGAGAGATTCGCGATGAGCGACGAGCCGCTGGGAGCGAGGGAAGGGCGCGAGAGACCGGGGCCTGGGGCCGGGAACGACCTACAGGGCAGAGATAAAGCCGGCACAGCACTGGCGGAAAAGGCCTGAGATGGCCGGAAGTGGGGCTAGCGCCTGGCAAAAGGGGGCGGGGCTTGAGGCACCTGCTCCAGCAACCCGGATGTGCTCGGCTCGGGCAGTGGGGAGAGGCCTTGGAGTGTGTACGTGGAAGCTCGCGAGACGTCTGCGTGGTCTCCATCGGCGCCAGAGGCGAAGGGCGGAGCCAGCGTAATGAGCGTGGCAGGGCGGGCCCAGAAAAAAGGGTGTGTCCAGCCGGTGTCTAGATAGGGCTTGGGGCCGGCTGGTACAGCTCAGCGAGCATAAACTACAGTGTTTCTTGTTCCTGTGAGAACTGATCGCTGGGGGGGGGGGGGGTCTCCGAAGGAGTTATGAGGAGCTCATTTTACCCTACGGGGCTAATAACTGGTAGTAGAGCACTTTGCAATTTGCTGAGAGTTTTCTCATAAATAACAACAAGTATTTGGGGGAAGCAGTTTAGCCAGGAGCTTGAATACTGGGACCACTACCTTACAGGACTTTTAATCCCTGTTCTGCTACTTACTGGCTGTGTGACCTTGGGCCAGTTGCTTAACCTCTCTAATTCAGTCTTCGCAACTGTAAAATGAGGATAATACTACCTAACCCAGACGATTATTACAAGACCTTAATATTTGCAAAGAGTACCCAGGAGAATGATCATCATATAGTAGGCACTCAGTAAGCTTTTGTTAAATAAAAATAAACATCAGCTGAGGCTTCATTATCAGTAGGCACTATGCTAAGCCTATTACCCAGGTCTTTTGATCCTTCTCCCGTAAAGGAAGGTATTATGACTGCTGTTTTACCGATAAGGAAATCGAAGATCTAAAAAGTTGAGTAACTTACCTATGATCACACACTGGTTTGTGTTGGAGTGCTTAAAAAAATAGTAGGTAACTAACAGGTGTTGATTTCTTAAATTATACATTTTCTTGTGCATAAAAACACAAATTAGGTATCATTCCATTTTTTAATAAATGACCATGGTGAGGCTCGTGCCCTTTAAGATGATCAGCAGAGGGTGGTAGAGGGCTTGGTGAGAAGTAAATACAGATTCGGTGGTAGGAGCCAGGCGGGGAAGTGAGGGAGGTGGGTGCGGAGGTCAGGGGTGAGGGATATTGTTAAGGGGTGAGGGGAGGACGCAGTAACTCCCGTGGCCTTTGGGGGCCCAAACCCTCCGCATGCGGGAAAGGAGCTCTAAGGAGATAAGATCTGGGGGAGACTGCACTTTCCTGAGAACTGGGCCAAACAGAAAGCTTATTTGTGTCTGTGAGTGCAAGGAGGAATGAATTTCAAAGTAGGAAAGGTGGGTTCTATTTTCTGACTGGTGAGTTCGCACAAGTACACACCATGTGACGTGATACAAACCACTAAAAAACAGTGTGGCATTATCTAATAAAGCAGAAGATACATACATATGCCTAGAAATTCCACTTTGCTTCTACTTTACAATGTATACTTTAGAGCAGTGCTTCTCAGAGTTTTCTCCAAAGAACCACCCCCCAACCCCTCCCAGGGGGTCTGAGATTACCTGCAAGAGGCTTTTATTCATCATATTTTTCAACCAAAACAACAAATAATTGATTAAATGTAAAAGCAGATGAGCACCCAGCTTCTTGTATGAATCGAGATATTAAAGAGATTTACAAAAACGTATAGCAACATCACTCATCACTAAATTTTTATTTGGAAAATATAAATTTTCTAATATGTAAATATAGTTATATGTAAATAACTACATATTTAATATATATAAATAAAATATATAATATAAATAAATACAAAGCTCTTTTTCATTTAGAATGTTATGTTGACATGTATAGTGGATTGAATTGTGTCCCCCCAAAAAACTTGTCCAAGTCCTCACTCCACATCCCAGTGAATGAGACCTTACTCGGAAATAGGGTTTTTTGCAGAAGTAATTAAGTTAAGGATCTTGACTTGAGATCACCCTGGATCTAGGCTGGTCCCTAAATCCAGTGACTGGTATCCTTAGAAAAGAGAGGTACATAGAAACACACAAACACAGACAGATAGGGAAGATGTCACGTGAAGTCAAAAGCAGAGATTGGAGTGATATGTCTACAAGCTAAGGATGCCAAGGATCGCCCACAGCCACCAGCAGCTAGGAGAAAAGCCTGAAACATTCTCCCTCAGAGCCTCCAGAAGGAACTTCTGGCCTCCACAGCTCTGAGAGAACAAATTTCTATTGTTTTAGTCCACCACATTTGTGGCAACTTGTCATGGTGGTCTCAAGAAACAAACAGAACACGTAACGGGCTTATTATTGTTATTGTTATTTTACTTACTTTTTAAAATGTTTATTTACTTTTCAGAGTGGGGGGAGGGCCAGAGAGAGAGGGAGACACAGAATCAGAAGCAGGCCCCAGGCTCTGAGCTGTCAGCACAGAGCTGGACATGGGGCTCGAACTCACAAACTGTGAGATCACCACCTGAGCTGAAGCCTGATGCTTAACCGACAGAGTCACCCAGGTGCCCCTTTCATTGTTATTTTAAATGAATTATTCAATATGAATTTGTAAGTGTCTTGGATCTCATTAATTTAAATTTTAAAATTTAAAAAATTAATTAATTAATTAAATGTAATTTATTTACTTTTTAAATTGTAAGATTTCTGGATCCAGAGTTGCTTTAGAGAAATTCCCGCACAAGTATACTAGGATACTTATATAAGAATGAAATCAAAGCCTAGTCATAGTTCTAAACTGGAAATACTCCAAATATCCTTAATCTGGGGTATATTCATAAGATGAGACATTATGTAACAATAAAAGTGAACAGATTCTAGTTACCTAGGACAATATGGGGATATGGGGGGGGATCTTATAAACATAATGCAAAATAAGCTAGGCTAAAAGAAAATCATACGCAATATAAAGGCTGACAATAGTCAAGACTGAAGGATATGGCTTTCCCTGATATATGGTGAAGTTATCCAAAGTATCAAGGGAATGATTATCTCAAATGTCAGGATAGATAGTCAGGGGGTGGTAAGTGGGAAGCAACATTAGATGGGGAAGGTGGGGGGCTTCCTCTGTGCTGGCAATACTCTTTTCCTTGATGTAGGGGGTGGCTTTTTCTAATGTTTATTTATTTATTTTGAGAGAAAGAGAGTGAGCAAGGGAGAGGCAGAGAGAGAGGGAGACAGAGAATCCCAAGCAGACTCTGTGCTGTCAGCTCAGAGCACGACTCCGGGCTTGATCTCACCAACCTTGAGATCATGATCTGAGCCGAAATCAAAAGTCGGACGCTGGGGCACCTGGGTGGCTCAGTCGGTTAAGCGGCTGACTTTGACTCAGGTCATGATTTCGCGGTCCGTGAGTTCAAGCCCCGTGTCGGGCGCTGTGCTGACAGCTCAGAGCCTGGAGCCTGTTTCAGATTCTGTGTCTCCCTCTCTCTGACCCTCCCCCGTTCATGCTCTGTCTCTCTCTGTCTCAAAAATAAATAAACGTTAAAAAAAAAAAAGTCAGCCACTTAACCTGAGTCACCCAGGCAGCCCTGACCTGTATTTTCATTTTATTTTAGTATTTGCATTTTATAATTCCTTGTTAAACTTATATATTTTATATACTTTTCTGTATATTATATTTCACAATCAAAGAAGAAAAGATTAATAGCAAAAGTGGGAAGTGGGTATATGGGGAATAATTGTGTTTATTTTTGCCAATCAATCTACCCCTCTAAATAAAAGCAGAAAATGAATAAAACCAGATTCTTGCCCTTGGAGTGTTCATAATCTAGAAAATATCCATTTAATTTTGTTCCATATTTTGAGTTTTCCCCTCATTTCTCAGAATTATTATAAGAATCAGTGAAGGCATATGTGAAATATCTTTATAAAATACACAACTTGATATGATCTCTGTCAGGTACACACTCTTCCTAGAGACTACAAAATATAACAAGGAAAAAATAAACTGTGATCTGCTCAGCTTGTAGTGAACACAGCAATGGAAATTTTGACCTGAACCGTCTTTGAGCCTCAGTAGTCTTAAATTCCTTCCTAATGGAGGAAGTATGGTGTAATGTGGGACAAGTTACTTAACCTTTCTGAAGCCCAGTTTCTTCAGCTCTAAGAGGGAAATAATAATACCTGTTTTGAAGGTGGCTGAGAGGATTGAAATACATAAGATCCAAATAGCACACTTGAAACTGCTCAGAATGCAGTAGAAACTCTGTAATTCTCCTTCAAAAGACTACTATTTTGGGGGGGTATGGTGTCTGGGTGGCTCAGTTGGTTAAGCCTCAGACTTGGTTTCAGCTCAGGTCATGATCTCACAATTTGTGGGATCAAGCCCCGCATCAGGTTCTGTGCTGACAGCTCAGAGCTTACTTGGGATTCTCTGTCTCCTTCTCTCTCTGCCCCTCTTCAGCACACACACACACACACACACACACACACACACACACACACACTCATTCTCTCTCTCTCTCTCTCCCCTCTCTCAAAATGAAGAAATAAATATTGAAAAAACCCCAAAGACCACTATTTTGTTTAAAGTTATATTTCTTATGAGTCTTTTTTTTTTTTTTAAATCAGGATTCATGCCCAGCACAGACCCCAACGCAGAACTTGAACTCAAGACCCTGAGATCAAGACCTGAGCTGAGATCAAGAGGTAGAAACTTAGTTGACTGAACCGCCCAGGACCCCCTTATGAGTCCTTATTGATATGGGGTCGCCTCTTCACTTCCTTATGTTACAGTAGGAGATTCAGATTAAGTAATCAGATTAAAATTAGTGTAAATATAGAATCAAAGCAGTTTCATACTGAGGGGCTCAGGAATGGGGGTGGGGAGACACTGCTGTGACCGCATGGTGTCAGCATCACATGCGGATCAGGGAAGCTCTGAAATGAAGCATTTGCCCATGCAGAGCTCAAGATGGTTTGGGCAGCCCCTGACACAAGGCGGTGGGGACCAGAAATGGTCAACACCTTTTCTGCAATGCCTCTTTATCTAAGTCTAAGCCATTCCCGAAAACGACGGGTAACAATTTAGGCGCTAGAGTTAGACCCTTTTTTAGTATTTTTAGAGGTGGT